TAATCCCCACATGGGTACAATGTGTGAAGCCCATTTCTGGTGTCCCCGCCCGTGATGTTGCTGGAATATTGCTAAAAGCGGTGTAAAACCAAACTCAGTCAGTCAGTACTCTGCCCCAATGTGTTACTCTGCCCCAATGTGTAACTCTAACCCAGTGTGTATCTCTGACCCAGTGTGTTACTCTGACCGCCCCAGTGTGTAACTCTGCCCCAGTGTGTTACTCTAACCCCATGTATTACTCTAACCCCATGTGTTACTCTTCCCCAGTGTGTTACTCTGACTCTGAGTGTAACGTTCAGTGAAACAACGCAGTGTTCAATCAGGGACTGCAGTTTCTAAATCTGTTGGTTATTCAAACACCGGTGTTATGTTTTTCTGGCCAGTTATTATACTTTGTCTCAGTGTTGTACTATGACCCAATTATGAATGCTGACAATACTTACCCATACATCACATGACACTGAAGGAGTGACACAGTGAGTCAAGTAACAACACAAAGGTCACTTTAGTTGAGAGATATACCATGAAACCCTTAGCATTGTCAGTCAGGAAATCCTGCAACCTGCAGTTATTGATGCTAGGGACGCCTGATAAGAAACAATAGCCACTATTATGATCCAATGATTCTGTAACTCAGACCTATGATCTTCCCGACAATTTCACTTTGTGGTACATAGTGATCAGAAGGGTTTGACTGGATCATCTGTATGACGGTAAATATCTGTCCACTGTATGCTGACAGGGAAATATCATTATTCAGTGGCGTGCAGCAACTGTCAAAACATGATTTATCTGGTTCTAAGCTATACACCAAGTCATTAGAATTCAGTCGTCTGACTTGTCCAGGCTTCGACACATCTGACTTGATCACATTACAGCCTGACCTAAACATCAGAAAACAGAACCCAAACGTTCCACGAAACGCATTCTGGTAAATAACACCCATGTAATATGACATACAAACACAAGCATTTTGCCTGCATCAATGCATTTATGTCTATTTTATTTAAATTATACAAATTCTATCTGTAGTGAGTTGAACTTTTAAACATTTTGATCAGCTTATCATGGTTTCAAGTTCCAAGTTAACTGATGTAATTGTAATATTTTTTCTGTATTCCAGTATACATGCTCAAAAATGGAAACAAAAAGCTCCGCTCTTATCATGCTAATTGTATTGTACAAGCAAAAATTTTCACTAAATTGTTTGTAAAAAAATGTTTCCTTTCCATTTAAAGAAATGTCGGGAACACAGAAATGATTTTTCTCTCTCACTCAAAGCGACTGCCCATGCTGACTTTCACATCATGCATACCGGTATGTTGCAAGCAATTCACAAAACATAAGTTGTAATAAGGTGCCATAATTTTGAATGAAATTGTAGAACCACAGTCTATTTGTAGTCCACATTACTGACCTCACATGACACAAATCAATACTTTCACCTGGAAAAACAGTTTCTATAATATCAATATATATATATACCAAGTCTAATGTGGGTCTTCACAGGTGACGTGGTCCTGTGAGCAGTTCTCTGGTCAGGTGTAGATAAATCCCAGAATACAAAGAATTCTTCTTCTTTTTGCATGTTTTTTCTATCTTTCTAGAACATTTATCACCCAAAATGGATGTTGGTTTCAAGCAGGCATCAACAAGGGTTCATGAATAATTGTAACCAACTGTCCCTACATGATGATTGTTGAATATTGTTGCATACACTCATATGATAATATCTGTCATCTGATGAACAAGGTGAAATTCTATAAATACTTCTTCAGCATTGTTCATGGGCAACCAGGCATCACTGCTTGTCATTAAGAATATCCTCTGTTAGCCATGTAAGGCATCTGATGTAACTAACAGCAGATGTTGCAACTTCGTCTACGTGACAATACACACGTTGAGCCACATAGGCTGGATTTATTAACTGCTTCATATAATGGATATATGAATCAATCATACTTGCATGCATATAGAAATACATTCAACATGGCCATAATCCACTCCATTGATTCAATAGCATGCAACGACTCAAGCAGACAAGCAGACTAAACCACAAAGACTACAGCATGCACAGGAAGAAACAGCAGATAAAGTTCCAAACAGAGGGAAAATAATTTCCAAATTTTGTGAGCCAGTCAGGATAGCTGTGGCTGAAAGTTACTAGCCCACAAAATAATTCACAAGTCCGAAATATGAATTAGAAAATAAGTAAAAGATTACAAAAACCTGAGAATAAGATATTGTCGGCATGACAAGGGTTCAATCATTAAGCTGCCAATATGATGAACATTTTTATCAGGTCATAATCTTGCATGATTTAAAAGTGTATTATAACTTAAGTCGGAGAGTGTATATTTACAAAATGACCCCATGAAAATTCATTAGCCAGTCGGGACAGATTCTGTGGAGATTTACTGGCACGACTGGATTTTTACTAGCCACGGGCTAGCGGGCCAGTGGCTATTTCACACACTGGTTCCAAACCAAAACAGTTCCTGGATCCATCATAGATCCACCTTCATTTCCCAGACTGATTTGCATATTTCTGTAGACCACTCTTCTGGTGTCCAGTGACATGATACTACAGGAACACTCCTTACAGAGGCACAAACCCAACACACTCACTCACTTATGGGGTCCTTCACTCTCATTCAGATTTTCTTTAAGTATTTGTATCGAATAAGTGAGTTAAAATTTAACCTTTGTTAATGCCACATCAGCTTTATTTCAGCCATAAAATGACCTAAAGACCCTCCAAGTCTTCAACTCCTAACTTGATGTTTACAGCAAAGGCCTGCTAACTTTTAAACACTTTAGTTGATTGCACATATTCTTTCAATGTGTTTGCTGCCACTCAAATACTCACTTCCAATGTTGATATAAAACAACCTATGACAGCCCATCTAGCATGTTCAGCAACCAGCTTTACAATCAGGTATTTTAAACTCACGTAAACAAGGTGAGGCATGCATGGCATGCCACAATCATTGTCCTTGCTTAACAGCGGACCTGACTAGAATTCAAATTAATCATGGAAAGGGATCAAGTGCTAACCAAGGGTGCAATTAGAACAGATTTTATTTTCCTGGTTTTCAAATGTTTTGTGAGACAAATCCTCATGATTGTTAGGTGCATTAAGCAGTTGTATATGATGTAACTAACAAATGCAGTGTCTGTCATTTGTTCTTCACTGAACTGTGTGTGCTGAACTAGGTCATCATAAAAGTTGCCTTATAGCACTGATTTTAAGAGTTAATTCTTTCATCCACTTAAATCCATCAACAATTTTAGTGTAATACTGCTATCACTACTCCATAATAAGGGCGTGGTTATAACAGATACTTTGTAACATGACAAACACACCAATGTGATGATATGCACCATATGCATTTTGTGTCTAGTTCTTGTGTGTTCTATTTGTGATATATTTGTACTGGTGAGGTATTCACAAAAGCAAAGCTTTGCTTGTTTACCAAACCAGATTCTTTCATGAATAAAATATGTTTAAACCATATGCATCAAAAAGCCTGGTTTATCAACCAAAAGGCATATCATGTACAGAATGCATAAATTCTATTCATCAATGCATCATGTGTATTCACAGGAACAACCAAGAGTAAATTTCATAGCGAGTGTTGAAGCTATATATCATGTATGTAGTTAATTATTCACATTAGTCAGGCAGACCATAACTGTTCCATGAACAGCAATCTTAATGAACTGTTAGATAAATCATCTTTTTCATAATTCTAAACACAAAATGCATGAGTGAGTATGTGTGTGTACTTTAATATATCTTATTACTTAAGGTAAACCTTGACTCTAAATTATTATTTTTACAAAGTCAGACATAAACAAATGGAACTGTACATTTTATCTTCAATCAGTTCTCAAGTATGGTGAGTTCTCAATGCATTTCCTATCAGAAAATAAAGTTGACAAACATACAAATACTATTTCATACACAAATCACATTATTCTTAAATTCTTTGGAAGTGATACACATGAAAATTCATGTATATGAATTGCTCTATTATGAGGAACACAACATTTCGGAGCATATCCTTACTCCTTCATCAGGTGAAGAATCATACTCAACCTTTCATATTATTCATCATTAGCAAATTCTATTTTGAAGACTACCCTGTTAAACAAATACTGAATTACCATATTAACATGATTATAATTAAGCACCCTGCTCCAATAATCAAGTGTCCCCTGACCATGCAGAAAACTGACGGACCAATAAATAAGCAATCACTACAATTGTCCCACACAAAGCTATAAATTATACATCATTACAGTATATATATATTACAAATATTTTAATTTTAAAAAACTGTACAAAACTGTAGAAGGGGTGTGTAATTGCCAATTAACTCTTTTCATAAACCTTTGAGTTTCATCAACTTTTGAACCAAACTTGTACTTCTCTAATGCATAATTTTCTACAACAAATCTATTTTAACGTTTATGGTTTTCCAAAGCAGACATTTTGCCAAATTTTTGTCATTTTCTTATCGCGGTAAGTATGGTAACTAAGCAAACAGACATAATGCTGATGATTTGCCTGAGAATATGTCTGATATTGAAACTATAGGCCAGTTCAAAAATGCATTACAATCATCAAAACGATTGAATTTTAATATATTTGATATTAACTTATAAAAGCCATTACGGCTTGTTTACCAATCCATGCTCAATCTATAAAAAAATTTAAATGTTTACGCTAATGCTGGTGATAAAGAACACTATTCAAAACAACAACCAAAAAGAATTAACTAAATCCTATCCACAAGTTAGGAGCCATTGGATTTGTTAATCAGTTATTCCCCCTCAACACACAAGACTGTCTGTATGAAAGCAGTAAGAAAACAAACCACCATACAAGAAATACAAAATCAGAAAGGCAAGACACTTAATGAGAACAAATAAAACAATTAATACAGAACCAGTCACAGTCAGCCGACACACCAAGTTACTGGGTACACACTTACCAAATACTTCATTGTGACAGCTTGAAATATACAGCAGCATTTAAGTCACAACCAAATGTACATGTAATATGTATGTAGACTTCTGACAGCGCATCAATTTACATCTCCCTTCACTAGTTAAGGTTGCCAGTGAATTGTTAATAATTAATAAAAGATAAGAGTGAAAACATTTGATTAATATAAGCCAGTAAATTGTTCTGAACAACTCAATAAAACATTAGAAGGCATTATCACACAAATATGCTTGTATTACATTCTGTTTAATGTAGCAAATCAATAGAAGCTTACAAATTGTAAACACATCATCCTTAAAATATTGCAACGTCATGGTACACAATGCATCACAAACATTTGCCAATTCGTTGTGGTCAATGAATCTGCGTCTGAGCCGAAAAAAACTTCTGTCAGTGTCAACCATTTCCTTCAGCAAAAGTACTCAAAGTACTTACTTCAACAGAAAAGAATCTATAACACTTACAGTTTTTATGTTTAGTTTGTAGATCCAGTTCGTTAGATATACAGACGTTGGTTCGCCGCGAACCTTAATATTGTCATGTTTTCAATCCGGAATCAGACCGAATCCGATGTTTACAAGTGATGGATTTTGGAAAAGTTGGATTGGGTAGTTTCTGGATACGGAATGCCGATCGAATTATGATTAACTGTTATCTCTTGTATTAGAAATGCTCTTTGCATATGTTTTACCAACAGTTATATCGTAAATGTTTTAATAATGTTTGATTTGTGTTTACAGTGTGTGTATGTTCCCATGAGTTGCCACTGGTCAAGTGTAAGCCCGTCCAATTATTTGCAGTATACGTATTTGCGTTCGGTTTGATTGATTGAGTTTAGTTTAACGCCGCACTGAGCAATAGTACAGCTATATGGGGGCGGTCTGTAAATAATCGAATCTGGACCAGACAGTCCCGTGATCTACTAATTGCGTTCTGATATACGTTCGGTAATCAGTCTAAGTAAATTTAGGCCCAGTATTATTCAGGATCTGCTATACACTATAGCAGTGTAACGAATAATATTGAGACTAAGTTTACTTTGACTGGTTCAGATATGTGAGTGAGTGAATTGGGTTTTACGCCGCTTTTAGCAATATTCCAGCAATATCACGGCGGGGGACACCAGAAATGGGCCTAACACATTATGCACATGTGGGGAATCGGCTCGGCGAGCGAACGCTTTAACCACTAGGCTACCCCACCGCCCCGGTTCGGATATATGTACAGGTACTGGCAAGGACTTCGACTATGTAATATATTCACCCCCCTTATGTGCATCACTTCTTAATGCCATTGAAAGACCCATAATATCATTTACAAAACCTGATCGATGACGAATTGTGGGAATTGCTATTTAATTGTCTACAGCTACGAATTCTTCGATATATGCGATCCAAAGTCCTATCGGGGAAATATACTTGTGTACGGTCTTATAGCTGAAAACATTGAGCACTGTCTCTAAAAATAATCCCAGACATAAATGTTAATACTTGAGTATGGATCAGGCCGACTAGTCGCTGACATCTTAAACAGCTCTGGATACTGTCAACACTGGATCAGAAAGAAGTCACTCATTGAGAACCTCGGTCGTTATTTTAGAGGTCCAGTGATTAAAATAAGTAAACATGTAGTCATGTGTTCATGTTGAAAGACAAGATTAATCAACCGTATAAGTCATACTATACCACACATTGTGCAACAAAACTTGGTCTGTGTTTGTTTGTGTAAAACATATTATATTTGGGATTACACTTTCTCAATAAAGTACAGATTCAAGTACTTTTGTTGGGTTGAGTCCCGGGATTCTAACCCTCAGAGTCAGGCACCTATAATCGCCAGTACACAAAGTCATCCGCCTAACCCTCGAGCTAGTTAGATCTTAGCCACCGCGGCTTCCACATATATGGAAGTCGGACAACTGGTAGTATAGACCACGGACTTTGTGTACTTCTGATAAGTGTATGTGTTGTGAAGTAATAGCTGTGACCATTTAATGATAAAATATTAGTTTTGTGTCCAAATTTGTGATATTTAGTTATTCTAGTGTTCATCATCGACAAGTTTAAATCAGTTATGTGAAACTTGTGATGGTTGCAATATGGATGAAATGTTGCCTCTGTGGCCAAGATTTTAACTCTTTCAACAAATCTTTAAAAATCCGTTTTCGTAACGCAATCCTAACTTTTGTTTTGTTTTGCAAACACTTCCTGTTGAGAACCGAATGGAAAAGTGGATAGTTAAAACTTGCAATTCTCCCATTTTTGTAGGAAAAGATATATTTAGCTAATATTGGCTTCGATGTGGACATGTTGTGTTCAAATGTTATGATGGGTTGATAATAAATTATGCCCAAACATATCCATATGTTCATAGTTGAAGGGCTGCCCCTCGTCCAGAGGAACCGGAAGTAGGTCGTGGCAAACATGAAGTGACGAAATCACAACAATGCTGTCTCTTTTCATGCAGAAATATGTCAGGTACAGAATTGCTGTTGATATGAGTTGCAGTTGTCAATGTTTTGTTGTATAGATATGTTTTCTAACATATTGTCATGTGAAAGTTAATTGTGGTTTTGTGGACAGTCACGAAACACTCTCCAGCTGCTGACTGTCCAGTTTCTGATCAGTCAACTCGTGTCTAACCTTTCATTTTCTTGTTACAGGACATCTTTCCAGTTTAATAAAACGAAAGATTCCATGAACCTGTGCCACATTATGTTTAACAATTATATAAAGCTCGGTGTCCCCCCAAGTGTGAAATCGGTGTCGTACATTTCACGAATGTTCACAGTTTTCGCTCGTATTGTTGATAAGGTTTACCTCGCTTGTATTCGCATTTCAATTCCAGAGGGTAGTGAGACTATTTGCTGTGAAACTGACTCATTAACAGTACTTAGTCTGATAGTTAATACGTCATTGTGAGTGGACCTAGATGGGCAACATTCTGCAAACAATCGAAATAATCAAGTATGGAGTTGGTGTAGAATATACTCCCTATCATTTTTAATCTAAGGATTGGAGGGCAGAGTATTAGTGACAACCTATCCTGACCCAAATACTTCTAACCCAAATGATAGAGGAGGCATGCCAAATCAGCGAGGGTATAAAAGAAATATTCTTATGATATATCTCTTAATTACTATTTACTGAGTGGAAAATGGATTCTATAGTTGCACTTTAATTCTGTGTGACATAATGAGTGAGATTCATATGGACTGTAGTCACAGGGCTGGCTGTCATTGGTCAAAACAGCTTCACAAGAAGTCATAAGGTCCAAAGGGCCAAACTAATAAATCACAAGGGCTTCTAATCAAAAGTTGCATCACTACAATATATGAAAGTATATATTTTATGTTTCTGTTTTAGAAAATTTACAAGAGGATGTTCAGCATGTGCAGGTTGTTTTCCAGGTGTTTGTAACAATGAACTATTCCGATGATCCAGCAATGTGCAAACTTTCTGTTTTTGTATTTTTCAGTCTGGTATCCCAGTGGGCCAGTTTACTGGTTGTCTCAGGGGTGTTCTTTGTTATCTCATTCACTGTGGTCCTGATCCTGCTGAGATTGTGGGTGAGATGGAGGGCTAAGTCCTTGTTGCCACACTTGAGGCAAGACAGCCAGGGGAGACGACTGGTGACAGTGGGATTCTTCCACCCCTACTGCAATGCTGGGGGTGGTGGGGAACGAGTGCTCTGGGTGGCCATCAAGGCATTGCAGAAGAAGTAAGTTATTTCCCTTTTGCGTGTGTCATGTATATTGGTCACTGCAACCTGCACAGGACAAATGAGTGTGTGTGTATGACATTGTGTGTGTGTGTAATGATGTTTCCTGGCCAGTGGTTCACCAATATTTATCCTGTTAGATGTATTCATTTTTCCCTGAATTAATTGCCAGATTGAAGGAGCATTTATTTAGATGACAGATTTCCACTGCTGGCCCAAATACCCAACAAAAGAATATATACGAAATGGTCCCTCTTCATGCTGACAATCTTTAAAAGCTGAATGCATCTTGAGCCCATGGCATGGATCTTGATTATTTGCTGTGCCCCTTTTTACTTATTGGTTGCCATAATGCAGCTGGAACTGCTTAAATAAGCAGATGGTCCAGTTTCGTATATTGACATAGTTGATGAAGCTTTTAGCTTTCACTAATGAATTGTAATTTTCTTGTTTCCAGACACTCCAATGTTAGCTGTATCGTGTACACCGGTGATATTGATGCCAAACCAGAGGAAATTCTGGCTCGAGCCAGACAAAGATTTAACATTGTGTTACCCATACCCATAGACTTTGTGTACCTTAGAAGACGACAGTGGGTTGAAGCCTGTAAATACCCATATTTCACACTGCTTGGACAAAGCCTAGGCTCTCTGTATTTAGGATGGGAGGCGTTAATGAACTTTGTACCTGACCTGTACATTGACAGCATGGGCTATGCCTTTACAGTGCCATTGTTTAAATACTTTGGTGGCTCCAAGGTGGCATGTTATGTACATTATCCGACAATCTCCACAGATATGTTACAGAAGGTGACAGACAGAACTCAGTCATTCAACAATGCAAATTTTATTGCCAGAAGTTCGTTTCTCAGCAACTTCAAGCTGATGTATTACAGAATATTTGCATATATGTATGGTGTTGCGGGGAAGAGGAACGACGTGGTGATGGTCAACTCGACATGGACGTTCAACCACATTCAGGCTTTGTGGTCAGCTGGAAATATAACGCATATAGTTTATCCTTCATGTGATGTCTCCGAGTTTGTGAAAATACCGTTAGAAAAGTCTTTTGCTTCTAAAGAAAGGACTATGGTCTCAGTAGCACAGTTCAGGCCCGAGAAAAATCATTCCTTGCAGGTGAAATCCTTTGCTAAATTTCTGAAGACAGTGGATGGAGATAAGGGGGTGTATAGGCTGGTGCTTGTGGGTGGGTGTCGGAACGAGGGGGACTCCGAACGGGTGGAGGCATTGAGGGAACTCTGTAGAGAACTGGAGGTGGAAAGCTCGGTGGACTTCAAACTCAATGTCAGCTTTGATGAGCTGAAGAGCTGCATGGCGTCGGCGGTGCTTGGCCTTCACAGCATGTGTGATGAACATTTTGGCATAGGTAAGTTGGTGTTAGTTTGATTGTCTAGTTATGTTTGCACTTGTATATTTCACACGGGTGCAAGTTTGTGGAACTAGAGAATGTTCTTTTGGGGCAGTGGGGTAGCCTAGTGGTTAAAGTGTTTGCTCATCATGCCGAAGACCCAGGTTGGATTCCCCACATGGGTTCAATGTGTGAAACCTATTTCTGGTGTCTCCTGCCTTGATATTGCTGGAATATAGCTAAAAGGGAATAAAACAAGACTCACAAACTCTTTCTAAAAGTTACGTATTTGGGTGATTCATACTCATCCAACTCGATTTCTGTATTCAAAGCGGAGGTGAAATAGTATAATAGTGTCATAACTTTAACCAGATCTCTACTTTGTCATGTCCTGGCAAGTTGAAATGATATTGCTTGTGACAAGTGGTCAAACACAGTACCCTCTGTGTATTCAAGACAGCAGTATGGCATGCCTGTCCTGCTTCTTGTCATATCCTGCAGTGATTAGCCTGGAATATGAAGCAATATGTACTTCTCAGCTTTGATTGGGAGAATCAAATTCAGGCCATTTAATATAGGTTTAACTTTATTGTTGTTATGACAAACATTTGTGTCTAACGGAAAGACTAGAACTTTCCCCAGCAAAGTGGAGTAGTACTTGAGAAATGCTAAATTTCCCACACATCACTGATCATAGAATCAATATGTTAAAAAGGGGCAGATAACTCATGACATTCACGCAGTCCATCCACTACTAGAATTTGTACTTTTCTAAGGTGAGGTGAGGTGAAATTGGGTTTAACGTCGTGCTTGAGAATATTTCGCTCATATGACAACGTGCATGCGTGTGTATTTTTCTTTTTGCAGCTGCTTGTACTAGCCCAGACTAAAGCTGGTTTTATAGTGCTAGCCCACTGAGATACCATGCCGCAGTGAAGCATAAATACCCCACTCAGACACATTATACTGACTCCGAGCCGACCAGTCCTTGTTGTACCCATTAATGCCGAGCGCCAGGCAGGGACCAACAAGTACCATATTTTAACGTCTTTTGGTATGGAGCGGTCGGGGATCGAACCCACGACCTTCCGCTCTCCAGGCGGACGCTCTAACCACTACACCACGGAGGCGGTCACTTTTCTAAGAAAGTGGTGTCCCATATATAGCATATACTTTATATCTTTGAATGTCTAATTTTGCTGATATCGATAACTACTCTGTCTCTCCTTGCCACAGGTGTTGTGGAACTCATGGCAGCTGGGACGGTCATTGTTGCTCACAACTCAGGTGGGCCGAAACTGGACATCGTTGTTCCATTCAACGAGGAGCCTACAGGTTTCTTGGCTGATGATGAGGAGTCCTATGTCAGCGCCATGACGACAGTGCTGAATATGTCTGATGATGACAGGTTCAGGGTACGGAGCATGGCTAGACAGTCAGTGTCGCGCTTCTCTGATGAACAGTTTGACGAGTCCTTCCTTGCTGTTGTGGATCCGGTGCTGAAATCCATCGAAGGCAATGGTGGTAAATAAGGTCACAATAAATTATTTGTGGATTTCCAATCCAAATGTTAAAATGTGGAGGGGATGAGGCATCATGTTTGTTTTATTTCTGGTCGATGGTCAAGGCATCTGTGTTCATGTACATTCAACTGATGTGATTCACTTGAAGTATGAAGGCTTCATAGGGGACAACGTTATTGTTGTGTCTGAAGTATGTAGGCTTCACAGGGAACAACATTATTGTTGTGTCTCAAGTATGTAGGCTTCATAGGGAACAACATTATTGTTGTGTCTGAAGTATGTAGGCTTCATAGGTATCAACATTATTGTTGTGTCTGAGGACAATGTCAAATTATTTGTTTAAGTGATCACAATATCGACATTGTTTGTTTGTCTGATGATGGTATGGCGATTGTGATTTCTGATTATGATATGAACATTGTCTATTAAGTCTGATGACAGTGTGAACATTCTGAGCATCAAAATCTGTTATTTTTGCCTTTGTTGACATTTGCGTGAATAAAAGAGTTATATATAATTGTTTACAACAATATCTCAGTATTCAGTGTTGTTTGTATGTTCTGTTGTCTATCATAAACAAATGCTGTGTCTAGTCTAATATATGCGACAGGCACAGCAGTCAGGGCACAAAGAAAAAGTAAAACATGGATGTTTGGAAACATGAGATTTAGTATGCTTTCCTGTTTTTCAGGATTTCATCTCTTTTGGTTACAACCGTGTGTAAACTGGTTTGCCAGGAACCTGCTCTGTTTCGAAAGATTTAGACTCTGTGACATTGTGTGTCAAGGGAAGTTAGTAGTGTGAGATGTTGCCAATATTATCAATCAGTGCATAGCCTGGTCTAGACGTGGTTATTTTATGTAGACAAATCTAGACTACTGATGCCATGGTGAGGAAAGCTAACAAGATCACCTGTCCAGAAGGGCAGGAATGTCAAACCTACTGGTGGAAAGCTGAATGATGTGCACAGACAAAGACTCAATATCAGGATCTGTATTAGATGTTTCCTTTAAACTTGGGACCGCCTCCGTGGTGTAGTGGTTAGAGCGTCCGCCCGGAGAGCGGAAGGTTGCAGGTTCGATCCCCGACCGCGTCATACCAAAAGACGTTAAAATATGGTACTTGTTGGTCCCTGCCTGGCGCTCGGCATTAATGGGTACAACAAGGACTGGTCGGCTCGGAGTCAGTATAATGTGTCTGAGTGGGGTATTCATGCTTCACTGCGGCATGGTATCTCAGTGGGCTAGCACTATAAAACCAGCTTCAGTCTGGGCTAGTACAAGCAGCCGCACATACACATACACACCCATGCACGTCGTCATATGAGCGAAATATTCTCAAGTACGACGTTAAACCCAATTTCACCTCACCTCACCTTTAAACTTGGATCTAGGCAGGAGCACAGGTTGCTCTTGTTTAAAATGGCCTTGTATTTGGCTGTCCAGGCCTTGAAAAGGTCTTAAAAGACGAGATGGAATTAGGGCCGTCTTTGGCCAACTTTAAAATATTAAAGTTACTTAAAACTCTGAAATGTTTGTATGACAGTTATCAGGCATGTCAGCAAAGTCTCGGAGACTGACCACTTGATCCCGTTGCTCGTCTCTTACATGCATGGGTTGCTGAAGGGTGATCGGGGGAAAAAAGTCATGGAAAAAAGGTCATCGGAAAATCACTATTATAAAACATCCAGTTCTCCAGTTATTCGCTTTGTTTATACTGTATTTTCATTTAAAAAAATCTTCAGTAATAAAAACATCCTGTTCTCATGATCAACAGCCGGAACATGCAAAAGAACCCTGAGAAATCAATGTCCAACACCGCCAGCATGAACCCTGAGAAATCAATGTCCTACTCAACCTGTCCCGCTGTTGAATAAATACATTATCAATATTGTCTTTTTGACTTTTTTCCTATGACTTATTTTCCTACCGAAATCTACGACTTTTTTTCTATAACTTTTTTTACTATTTTTTTCCTGCAACCTGCCAAAGACCTATTCTAACCTGGATCAGCATCACATTGAATCATGAACTCATCTTAATAAGTGGAGCGAATTGGTAATGAAATAGGTCTCCAGTAGCCTATGCCTGTGGTTGGAGTAGAATAATTGGATTGTGTGTTGGTGTGGTAACATGGTTGATTGCATGTGGTCACGTCCTGAATGGCTGGTCAATGCTCATGATGTCAGTCATTGGATTGTCAGATCCAGATTTGATTATTTATAGACCTTTCTCGTGTTGCTAGAATATTGCAGACTGTGGAGTAAACACAAAACCAGCAGACAAAACAAAACATGATATTACATAGTTTATTATCTAAGTATTGTGACTCCCATCGTGTAAATTGTGGTGAAAGGAGTGCTGAACACATTTTATATATTTCAGCTGATGTCCCAATAATAATGGGTAATGTTCTTGACGTGGGTGTAGTGATGTAACATCTGCCTGTCAGACTGGAGAAATGAAAGTTAATGTTGATTATGTAACACAAATGTTTGTGCTTTTCATCTGGGCATCAGGATAACAATGACCATATTTCCCTGATAATTTGTGTGGTGCAAATACTACTGTACGTGCCGTTATCAACACCCATCACATTCTACAGGGTGTCAAGACGAACCCGAAACAAATATTGGTATTAGTAGAAGTCATGCAAGAAGAAGGATCCATGTTTGTTCCACATTCAAGCACCATTTCCAAGAGGAGCCCTTCTCCTTTACAGACTTCCGTCATGTGCACTCTGTGTCTCGATCTGTGTTGGGTGTTGGGCCTGAGTCTACTGTCCGCTGACCTAAAAATGTCATTCTGGTTCTATTTCTTGCTGACAGTATTCCTGATTCTGTCTCCAAGGTTTCTGATGTTGTCGATCATGCCCTGGAAGCCACCCCGCTCGGTGAATTCGGCCGACCCTCGCAGAGCTGCACACCTCCCCATAATCTGGATCATCTCCCGCCAGATCCTGCAAATACAATGAGTATACATGGTTATATCGAAATACTATTAATTAGGTTTGGGACGGGTCCAAATTTTCTACCCGGGTACCCCACCCATATTATCCTACCCTACCCTGATACCCATTATGTTAATTACTGACGTCAACTTTGTAAGAAATGGCAATATATTCTTCAGCTGAAAGGCTAAAATTTCGAGTTTTTCAGTATCTTAACCATTCAAAACATGTCACTGTAAATTATGTCTAAATCTTCAAAGACAATACAGCCTTTTAATCATGAAAGAATAACATGTTACATTGTTTAATCTATTAGTAACATGATCACAACGGGTCCGGGTATTGAGACGGGTACCCGGATCCAACTCATTACCCACCCGTCCCGGGTATCCGGGTTACCCGTCCCAGCCCTACTATTAATGATAGTTACACAAAGGTTGCTTATTAACGCCATACACAGACATACCCCAGCTATATAAAACTATCGATTTTAGACCACACACACCAGTGATTGATACCACGAGCATCGACCCATCCCGGCGGATTTTAAAGGCTTGCAGACAAGTGTCTGCTTCCATTGTATCTTACATTAGTCAGGATATGGCTGGCACACTGCCGATGTGACTATAAATATTTACTCATTCATTGTATTATGTAAGAAAACATAGCACTGACGAGAAATACAAATTAATGCGCTGAATTCCGCACCACGGAGGGGCACGCTCAAAGCTCTACAATCTGATTATTGTTATTACCCGGATAACCCAAGCTGCCTGTGAGACACTAGAAGGTTAATAGTCCCATGACGTATCCCACCGGGTACCCATTTGCTGCTGGGTGAAATTATCAGAAGCATTCAATCAGTGACAAGAGATTTAAGGTGAAGGGACTTACTTTCCTGATCCCAATCCGAAAAGGTCACGGAACTGGTAGACATCCCAGAATGCCTGCCGGTTAGCCCAGAATACATTGCAGAATCCAGTTTCCTCGTAGCACGCGCCCCAAGTGTTCCAGGCGAAGTGGTCCAGGTCATGACACTGAACCGTGTCCTGGTTGTAGTAGGCCAGAAGTCGTTCTGTCATACACCGTGAGGTGGCGTTGATCCAGTCCTTAGCCTGCATGGAAGATGAGTTTACCACTTTGTATAACCATAAGAACACCCATACTCAAGACCTATTTATAGTTCACAATTAACATAGTCACTCGTAACAATCATTACAGAAATTACAAATCACCTTTCGGCTTGTCCCAGATTGACACGAGTTGATCACGAATAAAGCGAACCCTGGCACGACAAGGGGACATAACTCCGCACAGTGGATGGCGACGTCGCAGGACGCAAAGGCGAGCATAATGTAAACGGTTTTTTTCAAATTGTTCTTTTACGTTCACATATACTATCTTGGGCAAGGCACGGTAGTTATATGAAGTAAACGTTTCTTCAACGATTCAAACCAGTTTCAAGCTTACGGCAATGTTTGCACATACCTGTTGGTCAAATGTATCGTACCGCTCAGCGAACCGAGCACAGTAGTAGCCTCCATATTTGGACATGTATCCCCGGCTACCACATGGCAGTCTGTTTTCAAAACAGGAATAGAACTCGCATCTTCCCGCAGAGCCGTGAGCAAAACACTGGGGGTCGGTTTCTGTGAGGGAAATGATAGGATCAGTAATACGACCTTGTGTTCCACTCAATCGACTCTGGATCAGTCAAATCACAAGCAACGATAACACTACCTAGTCCCCATGGGTTTGTGTGATATATACCTGATATATAACAGATCTCTTTGAAGATGGATTGTTATATACCTCAGCTCGCATGTTAAGAACAACGCATTGATTTTCTAACCGTCTGTCGTTTACCTCGAAGCTTATACTGGAAGGAGTTGCCAGAAAATACAGGAAGATTAAGTCCATTTGTGTACAGAACGAACTATCTTAAAATTATTACCTTCATTTACAGTAATTTAATACTGACTGTCACTAATCTTCATGTCGCGGTCATAGTGCTGGCCCTTCTGTTTGCCATGTCTACCAATATTATATTCAACCTATTTCAGAATACGTAATAGATTTCTATTGAAAATAATACATTACCCTAGAAACTGCTTGACAGAATTGTGAAATAGATGTTTCTTAAAAAACGCCGCAATTTTGTGCTAATAAAAAAATACATAAAGAATATTTCATCTAGTTCTGCTGCCGTGAAAGGTAAACGTATCTAGTCTGATTCAGATGTGTGGTCTATTAAGACAATCAGTATCTTTGCGAAAAATACATTTAGAAGTGAAGACAAGTCATAATCAATTACTGTAGCTGGGAGTAAATTGAAGTAATTTTGTCGCAACAACCCACCTCCTGTTGCTGTAGCAGTTCTTCTGTCCCAGAGAAACGCCTCCGACAGGCCAAAACAAAGCACTATTGCAGCCACACAAAGTTTCATGTTCCTCAATCACCAGTCACCCCGTCAGTGACCGATTGTACGATACCATATGTAGATATACCAGGCTGACGGAAGAGTCTCTCAATGTGTTTCCCGTCCAGTTCAGATATAATGGCCTCGAACAGGGTGATGTTCTCGACCCCTTCTTATCCACCTAAACCCCGGAAATTTCGTATTTGCATTGACGCTCGCTTGATAATTCTTGAGAGCCTCCGTTGACGTGCGCTTTAAGGATGGGAATTGTAGTAACGCTTGACCAACATCGGTTGTCAGATTTGGTGTATGATTTCAACAGGAACATGATTTCATTATGCACTGGTTTTGGTGTATTTCGCTGCCGCCTCTCGACCCGATAATTACTCTGTCTTGACACGATATGCAAGGATCATGACTTGTTTCGCATGGCAATTACAATATGGCGCATTAACATTTTGGCATGCACTAAGGGACCCCCAATATACGCGCATTAATGATAAAATAATAATAATAAAATTACCACAGATACAAATGAGCATAAGTAACAGTTCCTCATTAAAGTTTAATAAAAATAGAAATCATGCAGTGCTACGTATTGGTAACAGTGTAACCCCGTTTATGCGTCGTAAAACACAAAATAGTCTCCATAGAGACGTGATCTACCACAGGGCAACCATTGTTCGGTTCGAGCGTCTGATCGGAACCATACTGTCACATAATAATCAAAAGCTGTAACGATCTCTGGTTTGAGACCTAATTTTATATCATATTTTTCTTAAAAAAGAACTAGGCATTCCCATAAATACAAATTGTGCCCCCTTTCTTGCGGATCTGTTTCTTCATGCGCATTTGTCGGAATGTCTTCTAGGATTAGCAAACTCCAATACACAAAGAGATTATGTTTGAAGTATATCGATGATCTGATGTTTAATGGCGATCAGAAACCCAATTCCCTGCCACTCGATTGCACACAATTGTAGAGTATATCGGAATCGCCTTAGTTAGATCTACGCGAAAAGGTTCCGGATGACGGAAAGAAAACTCTTCATAAGACTGTCTGACAAGAGGGACGACTTCAACTTTCCGTGGGGCGGTGGGGTAGCCCTATGGTTAAGCGTTCGATTCCCAAAATGGGTGCAGTGTGTGAGGCCCATTTCTGGTGTCCCCCGCTGTGATATTGCTGGATATTGCTAAAAGGGGAATAAAACTAAACTCAATCAACTTTCCGTTTATGTCGAGCAATAATCCCGTGGCTCCATGCTATCTACATTTTACTGCACTATATGGCTATAGCGTGGTGACGTCTATTATACAGAATCATATAGGAGAGCAGTGTATGTGTATGTGCGGCTGCTTGTACTAGCCCAGACTAAAGCTGGTTTTATAGTGCTAGCCCACTGAGATACCATGCCGCAGTGAAGCATGAATACTCCACTCAGACACATTATACTGACTCTGAGCCGACCAGTCCTTGTACCCATTAATGTCGAGTGCCAGGCAGGGACCAACAAGTACCATATTTTAACGTCTTTTTGGTATGACACGGTCGGGGATCGAACCCGCGACCTTCCGCTCTCCGGGCGGACGCTCTTACCACTACACCACGGAGGCGGTCACTTTTCTAAGAAAGTGTTGTCCGATATATAGCATATACTTTATATCTGTGAATGTCTAATTTTGCTGATATCGATAACTACTCTGTCTCTCCTTGCCACAGGTGTTGTGGAGCTCATGGCAGCTGGGACGGTCATTGTTGCTCACAACTCAGGTGGGCCGAAACTGGACATCGTTGTTCCATTCAACGAGGAGCCTACAGGTTTCTTGGCTGATGATGAGGAGTCCTATGTCAGCGCCATGACGACAGTGCTGAATATGTCTGATGATGACAGGTTCAGGGTACGGAGCATGGCTAGACAGTCAGTGTCTCGCTTCTCTGATGAACATTTTGACGAGTCCTTCCTTGCTGTTGTGGATCCGGTGTTGAAATCCATCGAAGGCAATGGTGGTAAATAAGGCCACAATAAATTATTTGTGGATTTCCAATCCAAATGTTAAAATGTGGGGGGATGAGGCATCATGTTTGTTTTATTTCTGGTCGATGGTCAAGGCATCTGTGCTCATGTACATTCAACTGATGTGATTCACTTGAAGCATGAATGCTTCATAGGGGACAACGTTATTGTTGTGTCTGAGGACAATGTCAAATTATTTGTGTAAGTGATCACAATATCGACATTGTTTGTTTCGTCTGATGATGGTATGGCGATTGTGATTTCTGATTATTATATGAACATTGTCTATTAAGTCTGATGACAGTGTGAACATTCTGAGCATCAAAATCTGTTATTTTTGCCTTTGTTGACATGTGTGTGAATAAAAGAGTTATATATAATTGTTTACAACAATATCTCAGTATTCAGTGTTGTTTGTATGTTCTGTTGTCTATCATAAACAAATGCTGTGTCTAGTCTAATATATGCGACAGGCACAGCAGTCAGGGCACAAAGAAAAAGTAAAACATGGATGTTTGGAAACATGAGATTTAGTATGCTTTCCTGTTTTTCTGGATTTCATCTCTTTTGGTTACAACCGTGTGTAAACTGGTTCGCCAGGAACCTGCTCTGTTTCGAAAGATTTAGACTCTGTGACATTGTGTGTCAAGGGAAGTTAGTAGTGTGAGATGTTGCCAATATTATCAATCAGTGCATAGCCTGGTCTAGACGTGGTTATTTTATGTAGACAAATCTAGACTACTGATGCCATGGTGAGGAAATCTAACATGATCACCTGTCCAGAACGGCAGGAATGTCAAACCTACTGGTGGAAAGCTGAATGATGTGCACAGACAAAGACTCAATATCAGGATCTGTATTAGATGTTTCCTTTAAACTTGGGACCGCCTCGTGGTGTAGTGGTTAGAGCGTCCGCCCGGAGAGCGGAAGGTTGCAGGTTCGATCCCCGACCGCGTCATACCAAAAAGACGTTAAAATATGGTACTTGTTGGTCGCTGCCTGGCACTCGGCATTAATGGGTACAACAAGGACTGGTCGGCTCGGAGTCAGTATACTGTGTCTGAGTGGGGTATTCATGCTTCACTGCGGCATGGTATCTCAGTGGGCTAGCACTATAACCAGTTTAAGTCTGGGCTAGTACAAGCAGCCGCACATACACATACACACGCATGCACGTCGTCATATGAGCGAAATAAATAAATATATTTAACGACGTTAAACCCAATTTCACCTCACCTCACCTTTAAACTTGGATCTAGGCAGGAGCACAGGTTGCACTTGTTTAAAATGACCTTGTATTTGGCTGTCCAGGCCTTGAAAAGGTCTTAAAAGACGAGATGGAATTGGGGCTGTCTTTGGCCCACTTGGAAATATTAAAGTTACTTAAAACTCTGAAATGTTTGTATGACAGTTATCAGGCATGTCGGCAAAGTCTCCGAGACTGACCACTTGATCCCGTTGCTCGTCTCTTACATGCATGGGTTGCTGAAGGGTGATCGGGGGAAAAAAGTCATGGAAAAAAGGTCATCGGAAAATCACTATTATAAAACATCCAGTTCTCCAGTTATTTGCTTTGTTTATACTGTATTTTCATTTTCAAATAATCTTCAGTAATAAAAACATCCTGTTCTCATGTTCAACAGCCGGAACATGCAAAAGAACAACTGAGAAATCAATGTCCAACACCGCCAGCATGAACCCTGAGAAATCAATGTCCAACTCAACCTGTCCCGCTGTTGAATAAATACATTATCAATATTGTCTTTTTGACTTTTTCCTATGACTTATTTTCCTACCTCAAATCTATGACTTTTTCTATAACTTTTTACTATTTTTTCCTGCAACCTGCCAAAGACCTATTCTAACCTGGATCAGCATCACATTGATCCATGAACTCATCTTAATGAGTGGAGCGAATTGGTAATAAAATAGGCCTCCAGTAGCCTATGCCTGTGGTTGGAGTAGAATAATTGGATTGTGTGTTGGTGTGGTAACATGGTTGATTGCATGTGGTCACGTCCTGATTGGCTGGTCAATGCTCATGATGTCAGTCATTGGATTGTCAGATCCAGATATTTATAGACCTTTCTCGTGTTGCTAGAATATTGCAGACTGTGGAGTAAACACAAAACCAGCAGACAAAACAAAACATGATATTACATAGTTTATTATCTAAGTATTGTGACTCCCATCGTGTAAATTGTGGTGAAAGGAGTGCTGAACACATTTTATATATTTCAGCTGATGTCCCAATAATAATGGGTAATGTTCTTGACGTGGGTGTAGTGATGTAACATCTGCCTGTCAGACTGGAGAAATGAAAGTTAATGTTGATTATGTAACACAAATGTTTGTGCTTTTCATCTGGGCATCAGGATAACAATGACCAAATTTCCCTGATATTTTGTGTGATGTGCAAATACTACTGTACGTGCCGTTTTCAACACCCATCACATTCTACAGGGTGTCAAGACGAACCCGAAACAAATATTGGTATTAGTAGAAGTCATGCAAGAAGAAGGATCCATGTTTGTTCCACATTCAAGCACCATTTCCAAGAGGAGCCCTTCTCCTTTACAGACTTCCGTCATATGCACCCTGTGTCTCGATCTGTGTTGGGTGTTGGGCCTGAGTCTACTGTCCGCTGACGTAGAAATGTCATTCTGGTTCTATTTCTTGCTGACAGTATTCCTGATTCTGTCTCCAAGGTTCCTGTTGTTGTCCATCCTGCCCATCATGCCCGTGAATTCGGCCGACCCTCGCAGAGCTGCACACCTCCCCATAATCTGGATCATCTCCCGCCAGATCCTGCAAATACAATGAGTATACACGTACATGGTTATATCGAAATACTATTAATTAGGTTTGGGACGGGTCCAAATTTTCTACCGGGGCCCCACCCATATTACCCTACCCTACCCTGATACCCATTATGTTAATTACTGACATCAACTTTGTAAGAAATGGCAATATATTCTTCAGCTGGAAGGCTAAAATTTCGGGTTTTTCAGTATCTTAACCATTCAAAACATGTCACTGTAAATTATGTCTAAATCTTCAAAGACAATACAGCCTTTTAATCATGAAAGAATAACATGTTACATTGTTTAATCTATTAGTCACATGATCACAACGGGTCCGGGTATTGAGACGGGTACCCGGATCCAACTCATTACCCACCCGTCCGGGTATCCGGGTTACCCGTCCCAGCCCTACTATTAATGATAGTTACACAAAGGTTGCTTATTAACGCCATACACAGACATACCCCAGCTATATAAAACTATCGATTTTAGACCACACACACCAGTGATTGATACCATGAGCATCGACCCACCCCGGCGGATTTTAAAGGCTTGCAGACAAGTGTCTGCTTCCATTGTATCTTACATTAGTCAGGATATGGCTGGCACACTGCCGACGTGACTATAAATATTTACTCATTCATTGTATTATGTAAGAAAACATAGCACTGACGAAATACAAATTAATGCGCTGAATTCCGCACCACGGAGGGGCACGCTCAAAGCTCTACAGTCTGATTATTGTTATTACCCCGGATAACCCAAGCTGCCTAGCTGTGAGGCGCTAGAAGGTTAATAGTCCCATGACATATCCCACCGGGTACCCATTTGCTGCTGGGTGAAATTATCAGAAGCATTCAATCAGTGACAAGAGATTTAAGGTGAAGGGACTTACTTTCCTGATCCCAATCCGAAAAGGTCACGGAACTGGTAGACATCCCAGAATGCCTGCCGGTTAGCCCAGAATACATTGCAGAATCCAGTTTCCTCGTAGCACGCGCCCCAAGTGTTCCAGGCGAAGTGGTCCAGGTCATGACACTGAACCGTGTCCTGGTTGTAGTAGGCCAGAAGTCGTTCTGTCATACACCGTGAGGTGGCGTTGATCCAGTCCTTAGCCTGCATGGAAGATGAGTTTACCACTTTGTATAACCATAAGAACACCCATACTCAAGACCTATTTATAGTTCACAATTAACATAGTCACTCGTAACAATCATTACAGAAATTACAAATCACCTTTCGGCTTGTCCCAGATTGACACGAGTTCATCACGAATAAAGCGAACCCTGGCACGACAAGGGGACATAACTCCGCACAGTGGATGGCGACGTCGCAGGACACAAAGGCGAGCATAATGTAAACGGTTTTTTTCAAATTGTTCTTTTACGTTCACATATACTATCTTGGGCAAGGCACGGTAGTTATATGAAGTAAACGTTTCTTCAACGATTCAAACCAGTTTCAAACTTACGGCAATGTTTACACATACCTGTTGGTCAAATGTATCGTACCCCTCAGCGAACCGAGCACAGTAGTAGCCTCCATATTTGGACATGTATCCCCGGCTACCACATGGCAGTCTGTTTTCAAAACAGGAATAGAACTCGCATCTTCCCGCAGAGCCGTGAGCAAAACACTGGGGGTCGGTTTCTGTGAGGGAAATGATAGGATCAGTAATACGACCTTGTGTTCCACTCAATCGACTCTGGATCAGTCAAATCACAAGCAACGATAACACTACCTAGTCCCCATGGTTTTGTGTGATATATACCTGATATATAACAGATCTCTTTGAAGATGGATTGTTTATATACCCTACTTGTTGGTCCCTGCCTGGCATGTTAAGTAACAAGGAACGTCATTGATTTTCTAACCGTCTGTCGTTTACCTCAGAAGCTTATACTGGAAGTACACATACACGCAGTTGCCAGAAAATACAGGAAGATTTAAGTCCATTTGTGTACAGAACGAACTATCTTAAAATTATTACCTTCATTTACAGTAATTTAATACTGACTGTCACTAATCTTCATGTCGCGGTCATAGTGCTGGCCCTTCTGTTTGCCATGTCTACCAATATTATATTCAACCTATTTCAGAATACGTAATAGATTTCTATTGAAAATAATACATTACCCTAGAAACTGCTTGACAGAATTGTGAAATAGATGTTTCTTAAAAACGCAGCAATTTTGTGCTAATAAAAATACATAAAGAATATTTCATCTAGTTGCTGCTGCCGTGAAAGGTAAACGTATCTAGTCTGATTCAGATGTGTGGTCTATTAAGACAATCAGTATCTTTGCGAAAAATACATTTAGAGGTGAAGACAAGTCATAATCAATTACTGAAGCTGGGAGTAAATTGAAGTAATTTTGTCGCAACAACCAACCTCCTGTTGCTGTAGCAGGTCTTCTGTCCCAGAGAAACGCCCCCGACAGGCCAAAACAAAGCACTATTGCAGCCACACAAAGCTTCATGTTCCTCAATCACCAGTCACCCCGTCAGTGACCGATTGTACGATACCATATGTAGATATACCAGGCTAACGGAAAGCGTCTCTCAATGTGTTTCCCGTCCAGTTCAGATAT